CAATGAGCGGAGCGGTTCTTGTTTCGCACCTCTGCGGCACTCTTCTGCATCTCGAGATAGGCAAGGCGAGACTGGTCGGCATCAAACTTTCCCAGGGAGGCATTCGAGAGTTTCTGAGCCTGAGCACGCTTGTTGGCCATGCTTTGGCCTTCTGCCTGTGCCTCACGAGCGGGTGGCTCGTATCCAAAGCAGAGGGAAGTGCGGTTTTTGTTGCGAGCATCTGCAGCACTCTTTTGCATGTCCAGGTAAGCCAAGCGTGACTGGTCGTCGTCGAACTTCCCAAGTGCCGCACCAGAAAGCTTTTGTGCCTGTGCCCGCTTGCCGGCCATGGTCACCGCTTCTGGCTGAGGGTCTGCCTTCACGCTCGTGTCGGTCTCGACATGGGATGGTGCCTCGGGCTGGGTCATCTGAGTCAGCACAGTCTCGCTGGAGCGAGCACTCAAGCTCACCTCACTGGTGGGCGCTTGGACCTTCACCTCTTGTATCTCAAGCACCTTCTTGTCCAGGCACTTTTGGATCAAGTTCATCATTTTCGCCTCGACACCCTTGCCGCTTTTGCTGGTGGATGCCCGGGAGGCGCGCGAAGCTCGCGAGGCCGCGGAGCGCCAGGTGGTCAGCGCCTCCGTGGAACGAGAGCTTTTCAAAGCATCCGGCCGTGGAGAGATCTCCTGCAACTTCGGAACCTGGGCTTGTTCCAGGCTCCCAGCTTCAGTAGATCGGCCAACGTCCGGTGCCTCGCTGGTGATCGTCTCCTTCGACTCCCTCCGACGTGCGGCCTTCATGGCAGCGATGGTGAATGCGTCCGGCATGTCGGCATCACCGCTGCCCCACGGGCATGTGTTACCGCAGGTGGTGTTTTGGGCATACCGGGCCATGTCTCCAATCGGAGGTGTGTCACTGCGCCTCTAAGCCTGTGAGCTTGATCCTGGAGCTGCTGAGCGACTCAAAGGCTTGCCCCGTCCCCAACAATGGGGTAGATTTCAACCCAGAGGAAAACAACTCGACTGTCCTCATCCTTTTAAGACACGTGAACGAGTAAGAGTAGCCGAGCCAGCTCGAAGCAACAACAACCCTAGACTACTTACTACTCCGATGTCGAAGCTTGCATGGAGCAGTGAGCTTTCTCTGAGCAGGAGATTCTGCAGGAACATCTCAAACGCTTCCAATGCTGTGCAGTTGAAATGGCGCATAAGTGAGGTGGTGCTGAGCGGAAGCTGAGCGACGCCGGAGTGGCTGTACATGTATCCCTTCCATTTGTAGGAGTGGATCCCTCAGCTGGCGCCAGCACGCAAGTCCCTAGCTCGCAGGAGCCTGATCGACCTGTTGATCTTGAGGCACGCCTGGCGTGAGGTGTGTGTGTGTGTGTGTGTGTGACTTGGGCATGCTATATGCAGCAGGATTCGCAGGCTACTTTCACGCCAGCCGCGCCTATCAGGCACCTGGAACTTAGAGTGAGGCCACACGGCCAACACGCAGGTCTCTGATTCAAAGAGAAACTGGGCCCCCTGCTTCGCAACAGAGCTGGGCTAAACCTGCAAACCAAAAATGACAGAGCTGAATAGCTCCGGATCTGCTCAGAAAATGCCTTGGCCGACTCGGTGCTTGTTGCGCAGCTCCTCCGCACTCTTCTGCATGTCAAGGTATGCATCCATGGACTTGTCCGCATCGAACTTGCCCAGCGTAGCATCCGACACCTTCTGGGCCTTGGCACGCTTGCCTGCCATGGTGGCATTCGTCCCTTGGCCCTTCTTTTCTGCTGGCCCCTCCGCCTTGTGCAGCAGAGCTGGGTACTGGGGAGCGTCTGCCTTGTCGAAGCAATGAGCGGAGCGGTTCTTGTTTCGCACCTCCGCGGCACTCTTCTGCATCTCGAGATAGGCAAGGCGAGACTGGTCGGCATCAAACTTTCCCAGGGAGGCATTCGAGAGTTTCTGAGCCTGAGCACGCTTGTTGGCCATGCTTTGGCCTTCTGCCTGTGCCTCACGAGCGGGTGGCTCGTATCCAAAGCAGAGGGAAGTGCGGTTTTTGTTGCGAGCATCTGCAGCACTCTTTTGCATGTCCAGGTAAGCCAAGCGTGACTGGTCGTCGTCGAACTTCCCAAGTGCCGCACCAGAAAGCTTTTGTGCCTGTGCCCGCTTGCCGGCCATGGTCACCGCTTCTGGCTGAGGGTCTGCCTTCACGCTCGTGTCGGTCTCGACATGGGATGGTGCCTCGGGCTGGGTCATCTGAGTCAGCACAGTCTCGCTGGAGCGAGCACTCAAGCTCACCTCACTGGCGGGCGCTTGGACCTTCACCTCTTGTATCTCAAGCACCTTCTTGTCCAGGCACTTTTGGATCAAGTTCATCATTTTCGCCTCGACACCCTTGCCGCTTTTGCTGGTGGATGCCCGGGAGGCGCGCGAAGCTCGCGAGGCCGCGGAGCGCCAGGTGGTCAGCGCCTCCGTGGAACGAGAGCTTTTCAAAGCATCCGGCCGTGGAGAGATCTCCTGCAACTTCGGAACCTGGGCTTGTTCCAGGCTCCCAGCTTCAGTAGATCGGCCAACGTCCGGTGCCTCGCTGGTGATCGTCTCCTTCGACTCCCTCCGACGTGCGGCCTTCATGGCAGCGATGGTGAATGCGTCCGGCATGTCGGCATCACCGCTGCCCCACGGGCATGTGTTACCGCAGGTGGTGTTTTGGGCATACCGGGCCATGTCTCCAATCGGAGGTGTGTCACTGCACCTCTAAGCCTGTGAGCTTGATCCTGGAGCTGCTGAGCGACTCAAAGGCTTGCCCCGTCCCCAACAATGGGGTAGATTTCAACCCAGAGGAAAACAACTCGACTGTCCTCATCCTTTTAAGACACGTGAACGAGTAAGAGTAGCCGAGCCAGCTCAAAGCAACAACAACCCTAGACTACTTACTACTCCGATGTCGAAGCTTGCATGGAGCAGTGAGCTTTCTCTGAGCAGGAGATTCTGCAGGAACATCTCAAACGCTTCCAATGCTGTGCAGCTGAAATGGCGCATAAGTGAGGTGGTGCTGAGCGGAAGCTGAGCGACGCCGGAGTGGCTGTACATGTATCCCTTCCATTTGTAGGAGTGGATCCCTCAGCTGGCGCCAGCACGCAAGTCCCTAGCTCGCAGGAGCCTGATCGACCTGTTGATCTTGAGGCACGCCTGGCGTGAGGTGTGTGTGTGTGTGTGTGTGTGTGTGACTTGGGCATGCTATATGCAGCAGGATTCGCAGGCTACTTTCACGCCAGCCGCGCCTATCAGGCACCTGGAACTTAGAGTGAGGCCACACGGCCAACACGCAGGTCTCTGATTCAAAGAGAAACTGGGCCCCCTGCTTCGCAACAGAGCTGGGCTAAACCTGCAAACCAAAAATGACAGAGCTGAATAGCTCCGGATCTGCTCAGAAGATCCCTTGGCCGACTCGGTGCTTGTTGCGCAGCTCCTCCGCACTCTTCTGCATGTCAAGGTATGCATCCATGGACTTGTCCGCATCGAACTTGCCCAGCGTAGCATCCGACACCTTCTGGGCCTTGGCACGCTTGCCTGCCATGGTGGCATTCGTCCCTTGGCCCTTCTTTTCTGCTGGCCCCTCCGCCTTGTGCAGCAGAGCTGGGTACTGGGGAGCGTCTGCTTTGTCGAAGCAATGAGCGGAGCGGTTCTTGTTTCGCACCTCTGCGGCACTCTTCTGCATCTCGAGATAGGCAAGGCGAGACTGGTCGGCATCAAACTTTCCCAGGGAGGCATTCGAGAGTTTCTGAGCCTGAGCACGCTTGTTGGCCATGCTTTGGCCTTCTGCCTGTGCCTCACGAGCGGGTGGCTCGTATCCAAAGCAGAGGGAAGAGCGGTTTTTGTTGCGAGCATCTGCAGCACTCTTTTGCATGTCCAGGTAAGCCAAGCGTGACTGGTCGTCGTCGAACTTCCCAAGTGCCGCACCAGAAAGCTTTTGTGCCTGTGCCCGCTTGCCGGCCATGGTCACCGCTTCTGGCTGAGGGTCTGCCTTCACGCTCGTGTCGGTCTCGACATGGGATGGTGCCTCGGGCTGGGTCATCTGAGTCAGCACAGTCTCGCTGGAGCGAGCACTCAAGCTCACCTCACTGGCGGGCGCTTGGACCTTCACCTCTTGTATCTCAAGCACCTTCTTGTCCAGGCACTTTTGGATCAAGTTCATCATTTTCGCCTCGACACCCTTGCCGCTTTTGCTGGTGGATGCCCGGGAGGCGCGCGAAGCTCGCGAGGCCGCGGAGCGCCAGGTGGTCAGCGCCTCCGTGGAACGAGAGCTTTTCAAAGCATCCGGCCGTGGAGAGATCTCCTGCAACTTCGGAACCTGGGCTTGTTCCAGGCTCCCAGCTTCAGTAGATCGGCCAACGTCCGGTGCCTCGCTGGTGATCGTCTCCTTCGACTCCCTCCGACGTGCGGCCTTCATGGCAGCGATGGTGAATGCGTCCGGCATGTCGGCATCACCGCTGCCCCACGGGCATGTGTTACGGCAGGTGGTGTTTTGGGCATACCGGGCCATGTCTCCAATCGGAGGTGTGTCACTGCGCCTCTAAGCCTGTGAGCTTGATCCTGGAGCTGCTGAACAGACGCAATACTTGGATCACCGCTTTTTTTTGCGGTAAAAGTCCCAGGCCGGTGTTGAGTAAGCAGCTGTGTGCCACCAAGCCGCGACAATGCCGTGATCCCCGTCTCGGCGACACTTTCCGAGGAGTGCAAGAGCCTCAGGTGCATTAAAGCATATCAAAGCATGAAGTCAGCAAAACTTACTGAGCTTAACCTTGCCTTGTGTGGCTGGCTGAAATCTGAAGGGCCTGGTGCCATCAATCTAGGAGCACGTGCTTTCGAGCTCCGTGTCAAAGCAACGGAAGAACACAAGACAAGACAACCCATTGGAACCGCGGTGACTCAAGCCAGCTAGCTTTATCTAGAGTCGCTGCCCCTGCGCTACTGATTACGCGGACTTCGGGGCATGCAGGAAGCAGGCACGATTTTTCATCTGCAGCGCTTGTCTCAGGGCCCACAGGAGATCATGTGCCTTAGGCGGCAGTAGCTGCAGCATTCGCGCGCTTTCGACACTTGGAAGGCAGCAACCTCTGGAGTGTGGTGCGGTTGACCTGGCATGCAGCTACAGCAAGCCAGCACAGCCGCCCTGCTTGGTGTTGTGTTGGGCATGTTTTCTTTGCTAAAGTCATCCCAGATATACACATGTGTATATACCGCACGTGCATATGTACGTTGCTTTGTACACCAAGTAGCAATTACATACATTGACATAAGCACATGGCATGTATGTGTGTATGCATGTATGTATACACACATGCGAGTTTCACACATATGCGATCAGCTTCGGCCACATTGTTCAACCATTTTCAATCTCTTCAAGACAGGATGCACCCACTTGTCGGCCAAATCCTGGCTTTCTGCCACCAAGACCAGCCGGCGAAGAGGTGTCGGACCTTGCGCTGTGGGATGGCGCGGACAGTGCTAGTGCAAACACCAGTGCCGCTTTCACCTATACAACACTCCGAGAGACAAGAGCATCCACTCTTGGGTCTTCACTATACTGAAATCTCAAAGCATGGTGTGCTCCCGTCGATCCGGATCAGTCTGAGTGCAGAACACTGCCAACCCCAGTCAGGCATCAAAAGATCGGAGGGCCAGAATTACATCCTGCATGCCTTTATAAGCTTCGCCCAGGAGCTTGACTTCGTCAGGATCGCTGGTGGGCCCGGCGAGCGCTGCGAAATCTCGAGCGCCCTCGCCCGGATATTGTTGCGGCAGTGCATCAGTGTCTTAGAGGCGACGAGGCGAGGATTTGGTCGCTGCCCCTGGGAAACCACAACCTACATAGAGGTCATTGACATTGAGTCTTCTGGGTCGCCTGGCAAGCTCATTTTGGCTCTTGAATCGAGGCTTCTGCCAAACATCGATCCCATATCGCTGTAGTGGTATGCCGTATGCGTGGGGACCTCAGGTTTTTGCTGTTATACCTGGTGAATTTCGTTTCCCTTCCTTCACCATTTCAGCTTTGCCTGCTGCCTCTCTACATCTTCTGACAGTACGTAGCAGCTGTGCCTGAAACGCCCCGTTGTGTGTGAGTGAGCCTTGATGAATTCGTATGCTTTGACATCGGCCTTGGCCAGCATTCCGTGCGATCCAATTGAGTACCGAACCACGACAACAGAGCTGGTGGAAACGATCAGGGTTCAAACCTCCACTTGGCTATGCCCAGCCAACCTAGCAAGCCTTGTATTCAAATGCGTGTCTCCGGCCTCTTGGTTCGAAGTAGAACCTTTCATGGGAGCCAGCTAAATTTCCTGCAGAAGCATCAGAACAGTCATGAACCCCTGAATCGAGGGTGACTGAATCCGGATTGGATGCGGTTGCTTGAAACCTCAGTCATCTCGCGCCTGCTGGTGGCCTCGAGTTGCCAGGGCGCTGGTGGCCGGCGTGCCGCGCAGCAGCAAGGCTTGTGACTCCTCACTGGACATCAAACCGCACCACCACCACCATCACCACCACAACTAACATCAGCCCTATCACCACCTCTTGGACAGACAAGGAGCAAGTGATTCGTGTACCGCTTCTTTGCAGCGCTGTCTTCCTGGGCGGCAACACGGTCACGAGTCACGGAGCCAGGAACCCTCGTATCTCAACATTCCTTCAATCGCGGAACTCAAACAATGTATTTTGCACTGCTTACATGCTACAAGGTTGCGAACAGGAGATGCGGTGTGACAGACAAGTGGAGCTTAAATCATGTAGAAGCTCCAGATTCAGATGCAGTACGAGTATTTCCGATCCAGGAGGGGCTGGGATGGAGTGGAGTGGACGGCAACAAGGCCCGCTTGGCAAAAATACAAGTGCAGCCACTGCAAGACGGGGCCTATGGGGGAAGGCACGAGGGGAGGCGGGGAGACTCCCAAGGACACTGATGGAGGGGAAGTAGAATCAAGGGTGGGCAGACGGGGACGGGAAGGGAGAGGAGAAAAAAGCAACCGATGCAAGGGGGGAACGAGACGATCCCGTTACAAAGCGCAGGGGAGGTAAGAAGAAAGCACAAACTCAGCGAGCCATTGTGCTGTCTGTATGCTGAGAGCACTGCTCTGCACCCCATTGTTCTGGGGACACGACTCCAAGGAAGGTCTGCACTTGAAGACACAGCGCGCACTTCCAATGCCATTGTTGATTTGGCAAACGCAAGCTCCAGCCTATCACGAGCTAGGCCAGCAAGATGCGACATCACTCAAACAAGCAGATCAAGACCCGTGGAAGGAGAATACAAAGCGAAATCAAAGGAGAAAACATCATGAGCTGAATCAGGAGGAGATCATGTGAAAGCAAACACATGGATTCTAGCAACGGGTCTCAAGCAAAGGGTCTCCGGCCAAGGTATGGGAGTCAATGCATGGAATTTCAAGTGTGAGGGGTTCACCCTGCGGGTGCTCCGGAGCACAGCATGCCACGACAAGGAGAGGAGGACATCAACAGCCTTCTGTTTTGCCATTGTTCCTGCGGGCGACTCCAATGACTGCAACTCTCCCACGAAGTTGTGGAACAACCTTTCGACGCTGGCATCATGGCAACTTAAGTGCGACGAAGCTTCTGCGAGTGCTGCGACTGCCACATCCTTCAAGTCAATGACATCTTCAGGATCAACATCGCCCTGCGAATCGGAAAAGAGATAGATGCGCTGGAGCACCTTGGTGGGCGATTTGCCTTCCGATGGCACCTCGAACAATGAGTCTAGAGCCTCCTTCCTGTTCATGCTCTCCCGCCCTGGGATAGTCCTCAACATCACCCTCCGTTTGAGGAGCTGACCAGCACGGCCCAAAATCGCAAGCGACGTGCACCCTCCATCACAGCAATGAGCCTGGGAAGTCGCTGGTTCGCACATTCAGCATAAAGCCGGTGAAGCTCGGCATGACACTACACGTAAGGTCCGGGGTCCACGCCATCCCTCGATATTCGGCTGGACGGGCAGCTTGGAGAACGGCGTGCGGGGCATGGGTTCCACGGAGATCTCTGTACAACCTCAGAACTGGCGCTTCGCTGCTCACAAGTTGCAGCGAAAAGAAAATTCCACCTATAGGTCCTAGTCTTGCACTTGTCAGTCAACCATTGAAAGTCGAGAACATGCGCAATCGGCCATCTTCGTGATGACAAGCGCTCGTCGCACTGTGTTGCTGCCAAGCCCTTCTCAGAAAAAATCGTGCTTCATGCTGACCGAAAGGTGTTCAGTTGCGCCACTCCAGGATCAGGTCCAAACGCACAACCAAACCCATCATATCAATGCAAGCCAAGTCTGCTGATGTCCTCGAACCAAGTCCTACCCGGGGCGAAATAAGGTTACTGAAGTGTATGTCGGAATCCGTATTAACTATAAAAGTTCCACGGCGCTTGTAAGTATTGGTACTCTTCTTTTTCCAGGCTTAAGTGGTACTCTCTGTCTCTCTGCTTTGCATTGGGCTTCTCTTGCTTGGCTGGAAAGGTGGTGTATCCGTATATCCGTATCCAGTCCCCCCCTGAGGCGCGGCCTCAGGGCCTCGTTCGGGACCTCCTCCTCGGATACCAGGCGCCTGTCGGAGGAGCACTCAGACTCTGGGTTTTTTTAGGGCGCATTCACCTCTGACTCTGTGGGAACTTTCTGGAGGTCTCTCTTCAGGGACATTTCGATCCGAGCGGGCAGCACGGCCATCGTGATTCTTTTGCCGGGTTGATGTGCTGCATCGATGCCTTCCAACAGAAACCACAACCTAGCCAAGCCACCCCAAGCCTTGTGTTGGAGATGTACTCCTCCAAGGTCATTGCTGCTGTATTCGCCTTCTTCAGCTTTTTGCTGGCCACGTGCAGGCCTGTATTCAGCATAATGAGGCCTCAGCAGCTACAGATTTGCCCATTCTGTCCATGTCAGCTGGATGCTCAAGGGTTTGCACTATCTGTTGTCCAAACCACCGCCCACGCAGGTGAGGTTTCACGGGACAGCATGCAGGGTATGTGGACCAATCACATTCGCCGAGCTGCTGACGGCCACCTGTCAAGCCCAAGGCAGACCAACAGTACAGCTAAGCTTATGCAGCCTATGATAGCCTATGCCTCGTGACTGCAAGCCGCAAGCCTACAGGCAGAATAGCTATCAAAACAGCTATCAAACGTGCAAACATGGGCACGACTTCATTCCGAACATCCTGCATGTCCTCAGTTTTCGGCTTTGTCTACATAGAGTTTCATCCGAGTGTTCACGTGCGAGAGCCATCTGCAATCTGCAAAACAAGGAAGGCTTTCCAGAATCCCACCCCCCGCCCCTCACACAGGAAATGGGGTCCACGGGCCTGAAAGACAGTGTCAGAAGACTTGTAATTGGTCAAACTGCTGGCGGAGTCGGCTTGCTTCTGCCATTGCCTCCGATGACAGAGTGCAGCTTTTGCATTTCACATAGGAGGACGGCTTCTGAAGTGATCAAGCCAGATTCTAGAGTGGTCTGCAAAGCCCACTGTCCATCGCCGATTGCTCAGCATACGTACAATAGCTGCACATGCTACACATTTTTGGCATGTTGTTACCCACACATCAGCCAGATTGCAGAAAGTAGGACTCCGCAAAATACTCCAGAATGCGGGTGATCACCTGAGACAGAGGCGCCTTATATACATCCCCACGGGCCACTTAGTTGGCATCGCCTCCAAAGTGTATCGTTCTGTATTGAATGCCGGGCTTTGAGGGCACCAGCATATGGCGCTCATATGCTCATATCATAGAGATCCGGTCTTCCGGCAGAACTCAATGTACTTTTGAAAGGCGCCGCTCAGGCGACTTCCAGCGCCCAGTCGCTTGGCCCTCTCCTCCGGGCTTGAAAGTGTCGAAAAGTTGTCGCAGTGCCGAGACCAAATCCTGCTTGGAAAAGTCCTTGGGCGACAAGATGGATCTCGAACAAGTTACCCAGCCCTTTCCAGCTGAAGGCTGAAGGTACTCTTCGAAACCGGCTCGGCACCATGCAAGTCGCGTCACACAGCTTCAGCTGTTCAACACAACACTGCAACTCAAGAGTGCGTCTGGGCAGCAATGCGGCTGACAAAGATCCAAAAGATCTGCAGTGTATCTCGCCTGCTGAAGTAGTCTCCTGCAGATCAACTCTTTCTGACTGGCCTTGCGGCCCAGTGCCCAATAGGAGATCTGTATCTTCGGATTGCTTCGGCGGTCCTAGCATGGTCGGATCAAGACCACCACGTTCAGTGCATACCTGGGAGAGCCACTCACCGATCTCCTCGGCGGCACCAGAACTTACTATTCTCAACCTGTACCTGAGAGCCTGGATTCGTGTGACAACACAAAGTTCTGTGCTCTAAAATTACGCTTGTTGCAATGGAAAACACTTGTCTCGTCTGTTCGTTTATCGGAGCCGCATGAATGTCTGCAAGAAGTGCTGCTTCCCTCGTGGGGTCATCTGGCTGCAGAAAAGCAGCGTCATCGGTGTCCTTCTTCAACTTTCCTGAGGATCACAAGGAGACACCAGTCCCGGAAGGACTATTTCGGGCAAAGCCGGGAAGGCATGATCCGTATATGTGCCTTCCAAGTCACGCTTTAAATATGCAATGCCTTCCTGCGCGAGAGGCAACAGAAAGGATGTTTCCAAGGAGCAAACCCACAATATCTAATGATGGCCCTGGAAAACGAACGTCCTTTGGATTGAGGTTGAAAGCCAGCACTGCTTGCGCCTCAACCAAGCGGTCCTGCACGAGCACAGCTGCAGGCATATGCATGCATGCAGTACACGTTGCGCGAGTGATTGTGCTCAGGGCTCATGCTCGATTATAAAGACCTATGGGTGGGCGCTACTGCAGGATGCACAGCCGACTGCGGAAACACCACGCTCCTCGCTGACTGACAGCTGGACCGATCTCCAGAGATATTGGAACAATCGCTTCTGGATGAAGTACAGGCGGCCGTGACCTTCGTTGTCCCGAGACTTCAGCAGCTTTTGTAGCGCGAGTCCTGAGCGGGCAAACACAAAGCTAAATCGAACGCAAAGCATCCAAGGGTAGCCAGGTTGCCGAATTCTTGCAATGTGGTCGAGGACCCTGCAACCTCAGAATTTGCAATCGCTGGAAAGCTGTTTCGAAGCTATGCTTTTCATGGCGGATGCATGACGAAACAGCAGAGTGCCTAATGCCAATCTCATGAACTTTGCTCGCCAAGTTGCGCTAATTCTAGGCTTCTGCATGGGTTCCGGCCTTGTCTGGCGTGTCGGAGAAGCTCCTCCTCAGAGGAAGCCGCGCAGCGAATGAACCGTGGCTGAAGCGCATCTTCGAAGAACAAGCGCTACATCATGTGCTCCTTTCGGAGGGCTCCGGCTGAAAACGTCGATGCGGTAGAGCCAGGAGGAGTCCTGAAAACATGCCCTGCCAACCCAACTTGAAACTGCTCAAGCCACTCGTACTCAAGTGAGAGCTACGAAATCCAATCAAGGCGGATGCTTGGTTCGTAAGATTTCGTAAGCCTATTCTTGTCACTCGCACTCGACGGATCAGGCGAGGTTTACTGTTTGTCAGTATCTTCAGACTCCGAGCACACTGGTTCAGAGAACACATTAACACTTGCACTTTCGATCGTAAGCCTATACAGGTCATGGATTTCACAGAGATCAGCAGCGTGGTCCTGGTCCAGCGCATCGCAGTGACACCAAGTTATGTCCAGCAGAGAAATGCAATTTGTAGGGGATGCTGGGGTGTTGTACTCGGCAACTGCAATCTGCAACCGTGTGAAATCGACCTTGGTAGGTGCATCAAGGCTGGCGCAAGACGATCTTGTTTCCAGGAAGGGCAACACTTTTCTACATCTTTCGGCATGTCTTTCGGAGCCCTGATCGCATGTCGATCTCCAATGTGTAGTTGCCGTTGGGCCAAGTCACCCAAATTCGACATCGTTCCTGGCACTGCGGCGTGGCAGATCCGAAGCAGCAGACCAAATGCAGGTTTCAAATTTTGGTCCTGAGCGCAAGAGAGCCTGAGATGTCTTTTCTGGCGAGGACGCTTTGGACGTCAAGATGGCAAGTCTTGTTGGCATGCAGTACAACTGCCAACGACATTTTAGCTTCGACGATGTTGCTGGTGAAAACACTTTGCCTCAGCCAGGAGCGACCTGCCTCTGCCCCTGCACAATATCCCATAAGTATGGCCAGGGCAGTAGTCTGGAGAGCCATCAAATAAGCGGCTGCATCTACTGCGCCGAAATTCAGCAAAACTCTTGTGGAAGGCTGCGCCTGGATGTCCCCCTCGGCGCCGCAAGCACCCCTGTACAGGCGATAGACCTGTCGGCTCATAGGGAACAGGAAGGAATACTCCCCAAAGATCCAAGCCAAACAGAATGAACATTGTTACTCCATCGCTCTGCTGCAGCACTGAGTTGCTAGTTGGTAGCTATTTTTATTCCTATGGTTGCTAGTAACTACTCTTGTCCTTACCACTACCATTGCTTGAGCTGCTATTGGTAGATGACTTGACTATGCAGGTCGTCTGCTTCATGATTCTGTTCTGCCTTCTGCCAGCTTTGAACTCTTCTGTATGAGTAACTCTTCTGGTAGTTTCCAGAAATAGTGGACCTAAATATATTACTTCTAAGGACCCCAATATAAGGTACCCCTGATTTTCGGAAGCTCCCTTGGGAGTACTCAGGGAACCTCTGCGGAGTCGATGAGTTCGGGCACTGCCATCGAGACATCGCCTTGGTTTGGGCCCCACCCCCCCCCCCCCCCCGCCCCCCCCGACTAGAAGCGAACAACACCCCAGACCGCGAAGCCCTAGTGTAGAGTTTGCAGGGGTTTGCCTTTCTGCTTCTGAAACTTTCTTAAATTGTCGTTTAACTTTTTTTTGGCCGGTTCGTGGATCCAGCCCCCTCCACTCCCTTGAAAGGGTGGCAACCGACGACCCTTCGGTTAACTGCCAAAGCCCGAGCAGCTTTCCACGGAGGAACCTCGGTCGTGGGGAGCTCTCCCAATCGAGATCGCTATCCTCGCAGTCCTTGCCCCTTCAATCAGATAATTGCGGACGATATACTTAGGTTTGACCATTGTCTTACCATGGCATACTTGTCGCGGCATACTTAAGAGCTCAGAAGCACAGTACCCCGCTTGGACAAATTGGGCAGCTCGGGGCATTCTGCCAAGAGACTTGAGCTGGTTCTAGGCGGCTGTACCTGATTTGATGGTAGAAGGGTGGGACACTCAAGAAACATTACAGTCCCACTCTATGCGATCAGCTACCAGTCTTGGAAAAGCAGAGTCGCATAGCAGTCCTCCTCGGACTCCTGCAAGCTAGGTCGACCACTCTTCAGCTTGTAGCCTGGGAAGCAGACGAGGGGGGCATCCAACGACCCATATCTGCACCAATGTAGCATGTGAAGCATGAAGAGGCTGGAAGCCACAAGAACAGCTGAGGCACCAAGACAAAGGAAAAGGTGCTCCAACCGCACCATGCCGACAAGCACTCTCGACCTCGTCACCAGGCTGCATGCCCTTCCCTGATTCGCGGCACGGATCGAGCTCAGGCCCTTGAGCTCTGCTCATCGGAGTGGGGGGTGCAGTGCTGGCCATGATGTATATCACTGCTCCGACAACCTACAAACTACAGAATGCTTGGGTGGACGTGCAGGTGTGGGTAGCAGGCCCCCCATTGCTCGTCCAAGCTGCTCGGCGCCTTGGGGTGGTCAAGTGAGCACAATAGCGGTGGAATTGGCCGAGAAATGCAGAGAACATGGGTCCGTGAGATTGAATCACGAAGCTCTGGCAGCGTTTACTAGACCGCACAGCGAAAGAAAGATGGCAACGCTCTTGCACCTCTCTTCCACTTGAAATTGAAGGAATTGTCGGCAGCTGCCTCTCTGCGGCAAAGCATCGAACGAGCAAATTGTGCCCGCTGGTGACAGAGGACCTGCGCAAGCCATAACCGCGTGGCACCGAGAACAGTGCATAGCCCGGTCACAACGAGGTTGGGCCTGGCGTTCACCTCTTTGAGGACCCGCAAGCGGTCAGAGTGCTTGGTGGCCAGAGCGCTCTCGACAGCGACGCCCACCTTCAAGGCACTCCATTGCTAAACTTGCCGGCTCGACGACTAGTCCCGATCGTCATGGCTCCGAAAATGAAGCTAGCCCAGGAACATATTCGTACACGCGGTTGAAGGACATGGAGATGTTGGCTTTTGGATCCCGGTCGCAAAGCTCTCGCCACTCCTGGCAGGATGCGTCTTTGATCCAACGGCCCTCGCTCCGACATGAAACATCCGTCTAATCTACCTTCTATACTTCCTGGAGCAGCAGCTTCACCAAGGGTCCCCATTGCCCAGGGCCTTGTGGAGCTTGCAAAGCGCCGCCATCCAGTAGCCTGCGGGCCGAAGACTGCAAAGCCCCAGCAAGGGCGCTGAGAGTCTGGGAAAGCCGTAGAATATCATCTTTTGCTCAGATCTTTCGCCTGAACCTGCTTCCACAGCCTGGCATGTGAGCTGTTTTGAGCCTTATGCACTGGGACTCTGGGGGCTGCCGTCTCCGGAGCCTGATACTGTCCGAGAGCCTCGTTATGCTGCGATGCTTCCCTGGACCGCTGAGGCTACCTGTAAGACGCTTGAGCAGCACGGCCTTTAGGTCAGAATGCTTTCGTTGCAGTTGAGCAGCTGGCGAAGACCTCCACGGGATCGCTCTTGGCAAGCTCGCTCCTTGTCTCATCTTTACGGACCCACCCTCCCTATAGCCCAACACCCGGTTGGCTACACTGGGGGCCCTGTGAGAAACAAGGCTGCGCACCGGCAGCAGCAACACTTCTCATGATGTCTCTTTCCACAGCTGCTCACTCGACCCTGGCCTGCGAGGACTTAGTGGCTAATTTGATGTGTCTGGGCCGGATGATCTGCTTGCCGTTGGGGTGAGAAGAGAAGCGAGTGGGGAAACCGGGGCCCGTAAAGGCTCGTGAAGAAAAAACCCTGGAGTAATGCTTACCTCGTCCGAGAGGGGCGATAATTCGTAGGGAGGGCTTCGAGTGCCGATCAAAGCTGCAGGAAGCGCTTCATTGCCAGGGGGTGCGCAGCCGGGAGCGTTTTCACCTTCCAGGCAAAGAGAACAACCTGCCTCTGCTGACCTTGCTTCTGGAGACCAGCTCTGGAAGAAGAAACGTATACTTTGCCAATGCCTTCTTCTGCCATTTACTGCCCAGTTGGAGTCTGCCAACGACGACCCAACCACATGCGTGGACATGACAGCACGGCAGCTCGGAGGCAAGATGCACAACTGCAGCTTGGAGAGAAAGAAACAAGACTAAGAGATCATCTCAGGTCAACAACTCCGAGCCGTTGATGAATGTTCAAGGCTGAGGCTGCGGCTGGACCGAGCATCGGCCGTGCATGCAGTCTCAGGTGGACAGCAAGAAGTTGACAGATTGTGATCCCGGCGGCCGAGAAGGGATACCAAGCCTCAGCAGGTGGTAGGCCTATTCTTCAAAGTCAAAGTCGAGGGCCAGCTTACAGTCTTACAGCCAGAATCAAGATTCAATTGAAGATCGGCCGAGTCTTCCCCACGCTGCAGTTTGCAGCACCGCAGCGTTTACGGTGCCAGCTAAACCTGAAACTCTCGTTTTGAGGCTGCTGGCGCGTGAAGGAAACTTCGCCTCCTCCATTAGGATCCGTGCCTCGCTTCGATGCGAGATATGCTTGTTGTTGTTTGGCTCAAGACCTTTGGACTTTCATGTCTGCCACGCATGATCATTGGCTGCTAACAAGCCGATGTTGCAGGCTGGGCTTTCTCAAGAATATCTTGCGCGGCCTGCGAAGTGTGCTTGTCTGCAAGGAAAAGGAGGCACCGCAGGGAAAGAAGGCCTCAGCGACCAGGGGGCCGACATGGCTTCTTATCGGCTTCTCTATCGGCTGGGTGAAGGCTACTGGTCGAGACGAGTCGAGCCTATGCAGTGCTATGTTCCTCTGCAGCGTTGTTGTGAAGCACATGGCCTCCTCCGCGGAAGTCGGTCCAGGGATTTGCGCTCCTTAGGCGCAGTACAAGCACAAATGCGATGCACAAAAACACAGCACCACAGCATGTCAAAACACATCGGACTTGTCTGCAGCCCGGGTGCTGGAAGCCGAGATCGTCGCTCCACCGCTTTGAGCGGACCTCGTAGGGAACCTGCGAGCCATTGGGCAAAGGTGCGAAGGTGGAGTAATGACCTGTGAAGAGCTGCTCTAAACCCTAGAAGCAATTAATTCTTTCATGCGAATCTGCAAGTCGGGTGCCGGAGCAATGCTGTGCTGCAAACTGCCTGATCTCCGAGCATGAGCTCCCAGTACCTTGCGATGCAGCGCAGCATCCGACGGAGACATTGGGCCATACGCTCCTGGTTTCATCCCCGAACTGCCGCACGTCTTCTCCACCACATCAGCTTCGCTTACGGACCCCGTAAGCCGTAAGCGAGTCCCGAGCTTTAACTGCTGTAACCGTTCTGGCAGGCAGCTCTTCCATCGCTTGTCGATGGCTCTCGTTTGCCTCCTTAGTGGAACCCACCAGAAAAATCCGCGAGGCGTCGGCAAAAGTGTTGGACCTGCAGCGGCAGCGCTGTGACAGCCATGGCATCCAAGCAACATCCAACATGATTGAAGCCAACTTGGAGAGCTGGCTGTGAGCAACCTCCTGCCGTCCGAACTCGGCTCAGTGCAGCTTCAGAAGACAAAATGTGTCCGCATCGAACATTGAATTCATCGGCCCCCATGGACTTTCAAACGAACAGCTTCGGGAACATAAAATTCAAAGCTATCAGCGTATACACAACCCAAGCCACAGGGAAATATGTCCTCTTCGGGAGTGGTCGCCTGCAGAGAGTAGCTTGCAGCGTTCAAGCTAGTGACTGCAGCCACATACTTTCAGCTTACCTACGGTTGTGCTTCCTAGCTTTCTTTGCTTGAGCAAGTTGTCAGGAGCTAGAACATCTTCGACAGTTCAGCAGTCTCAGGTGCAGGATGGCCTGGGCAGCGTGAGATAGCGTGAGCTAAGTATCATCTTGTGAGATCGATCATTCCCGTCAAAATTTTCGGGTGTTGCAGCATCTACTGATGCCGCCTTGCCATACAGCTTGAGTGAGACAGCTCCACCTTGACGTGTTTAAAAGCTCACAGAATTAAGTTCTATCCGTGAAGCAACAGATGTGCAGTCATATGTAGATCTCGTCGGGTTGCAATGTATCTCGACCAGGAGCAGCACCGACGGTAGCTGCCTCGTCCACCACCTGGTGAGGGCAATTTGGCGTCATGTCACAGAAACCCGTGCGCAGGCCGTCCATTGCTTCAATTACGTGGCGGCGGGCATGGAAGCCAAGCGAGGCTTCGGGGAGAAGCTGGTGTGGACTTGTGCAGGCTTGTCGTGATTCTGTTGCTCTAATTAACTAACCACCAGATCTGTTGTCGCTTAGTACAGTACACCGCGGCCAAAGTTTTTTGTCCCGCACTTCTGTGAAGCATGGATGTCCGTTTTTTGAGGCAGGGCTCTACAGCGATCACAGCGATCTAGAACTAATCGTTCGTCCACCATCGCGGCTACATTCAATGTCCACACACTCGGCTGCTTCGCTACCTGTAGCCTCAAAGAACGAAGAGCTGTTCACCGCTATGAGTTGTGATGAGTCTGGACACGGGCGGACAAGACATGAGCCACCAGCTCCTGCCATTCAGTGTCAGCCTGTTTCAGCCATCGAACAAAGAGTGCTTCCTCTTCCGATGGGTGGAAGGTTGCTCACACATGTTATAGCCAATACAGCCCAAACAGCATCTTGCACTGGCCCTTTTTGGGGACTGTTTGTGAAGATTGCTCAGTACAACACTGACTAGCAGGCATCATTCATCAGCAAGGGCAAGTTGGGCTGGAGGACAACACACCATTCTGGAATGGTGTTTGGTAACATGCACCGGGTTTCGCGATTGTCGTCTTTCAATGAACTCATAATCCGCATTCGTTGACTGGGTGTGTTCAGTGGTCCTGTTCACATATTTTCTGAAGGTTCGTCCGTGTATCTGTGTTCGTACCTTCCTGGCTGACTCGTCTTCAAAGGCCATGTGCAGATGGAGTGGGCAGAAGCGATGGATGCATGGTGGTGTCGTTGTGGCCCCTGCCTATCGGCGAGTTCGGAAGCGAAGCTGTGCTCCTGGAAATGGCCGGCCTGGGCAGGCCGAGTACAGACAAGGGCATTCAAGCAACTTCGCTGCAATAGGCGAAAGGTGTACCGGCGTGACCATAGCAGCAACGCAATGTAGAGTCACTTTGCACAGACCACGCTGCTGACAGGAGAGCAGTTCAAGCCCCTGACGGTGGTCTACGTAGTGCTTTCGTGGAAACATCACTTCAACCGTGGCACTTCTGGCATACGTCGAATTATAGATGATGCAGATATGCAGCCGTGGTCGCATGTCAAGAGGCGGGGTGACTTTTCGACTTGCCGGGTGGCAGAGGTGCCGCCAAACCAACCTTCAACTCACTCTGGTAATCGGAGATACCTGAGATGGCACCATTGCTGCAGCAAGAGACGAGTGACGAAAACATCCCGTGGAGCCGCAGCTTACAAGACACAGGTGCTACCACCTGCCCGAAGCGACTGGAATCATAAGTAAACCAGCTGTTCCAAAGGACTAACTCTAGACTCTAGAACTGAACCAAGCAGCTACAGCATTTGCAGAGGACGAAGTGTTTCTCAGTCACTCAACTGCCACTCGTAAGGAACGACTCGCAAAACAACTCAGACCAACATCTCTCATCTCACAGATGCCGAAGGTAGAGTGCTTCCTCAGGGTTTGTGGTCGAGTCTGCTGCGACTCAGCAAGCTCCCGAGCCGGAGAATCCTGCAGACAGGATCGGATTGCGGTTGAGGTCTGCGCTCAGAGAACCATCCGAAAGCATCGCGCACGATTGTACGTCCCATCCCTTGTTCCGGTAAATCCGCAATGAACGTCTCAGCCCTGAAGTGGAAGTCCCGATCAAAGCTACCCCGAATTCGTAACGGCCCTGCTCCTCGAAGCGCCCCTCCGCGGCTACGGGCTTGGATGCCTGCTGCAGCTGACATGCACTTGAGGGCCGAGGTGGTGGTCTCGCAGTGTCCTACGCGGCGTCCCTTAGATGTCCCTGCTGTGTATGCTGTCGGCCAGTGAGCGACCGAGGCAGTTCCGGGTGGGGACACGGTCAAGGTGATGCTTGCAAATCATCTCAGAGGGGCTATGGAATCCAACGTGTTTTTTGTCAGCTGAAATGCACTAAGCTGACTGTGACTAAACCATCTTCACAGAAGAGCCCGCCGTTGCACCTCATCGCGAAGAGTTGTCCGGGTCTCGGCACCCTGCCCATGCTGACACGCTGACAGCTTGAATCCAATCGTCGTATCTTCCTTCGATTAACCAACGATCCTCAGTACTCCTGCTGATGGACCCCAAACCCAGAAAAAGCTTCTTGCTGCCTTTGGTTTGGGCGAGGACCGCATGGGCACCAAACATTCAAGACAGTACGCGAAGGACAAAATTAACAGGTTCAGAACCAATTGAAGGATTTGCACGGTCGACTGCACATGTGCAGTTAAACCTATTGCAAAACCCATGCAAGGCCGTTTTGGTGTGCCGCGAGAGTCGCCATGACGCCATGCGATCGGATCAGGTGTCCGTGCATCAGACTCAGGAACATTATGCACGACTAGACAACGGGTGTCTGAAATGAAACACCAAAAGCCAGGCGGTTGCCAGAACCATGTAAGCTCAGACATTTATTTTGCGGTCTTTGCAACAAACCATGCCGTAAGTTTACCAATGGAAACTCCATGATTCCCGAGCATGCATGGCTCTGCATACCTGGAAGTCTGCCATTGGCACATGTCTCGAGGGGTGAATTAGCATGCATTTCATTGCGAAGACCTGCTCGCTGTCTGCCTTTACACCTGTACACGGGCATTGCGGTATCGCAATGTCGCAGGCTTGCAAGAAGTTGGGAAAGCTGCCTTCGGAAACCTTGGGCTTCGATGGCTGGAAGGATCATGCAAGTAGCTTTTCCGATTTGCACCAGTCAAGCGTTTTGGAAAAACGGATTCCCGCGTCAGCGGCTGAATAGCTTCGTGACCTCAAGAGATGCATCAACGCGGAAGGCCTTCAGGCTCTCTGCGCGGAGGCACCGGGCAGAAGCTGGCTGCAGCGGGTCATCTAATATGTGGGCCGCGATCTTGTCCAACTTTGCTTCAATGTGCTTCAAGTCCGCATGCAAGGCCACTTGGTCGATCGCCCGTGCAGGACCCTTGCATCTCAATATGCCGTTGATGAATTCGTCAAGAGTTACCTCTGGGCACTATGCAACTTGGGGTGTTCGTTCTCAAGAACATTTTCTGAAGAGATCTGGCTTTCTGCGTCTTTGCTCGAAACCCGAAATACGAAGCAACCGTGGAAATGATTTCCAAGAACAAAAGCTCCCGTGCTGCTGCTGCTGCTGCTGCTTACTTAGTGTAACTATGTACTGTAACAAGGCTCTGGCACGTGCTGCAACGTTCAGGCGGTTACGAGGCTGACCAATGCTTCGAACCCGAGTATTCATGGAAGGCTGTTAAAGGCAGAAAGATGCAGTGACAACAAAGGTTGCTCCTGTTGGTTCACGCGCCTCTCCCTCTCCATTGGCCAAGAGGTGGAAGAGTGCCGTTCCTTCATGCAAATCCAGGTCGATGGTCTGAAAGTATGCCTTGACTCTCGGATTCATCAGAATCTCGGACAAGCGCTCTTCGCCGATCATGCCAGTGCCAGTTACGTCTATAGCTCGGAAAACGCCTTCCAGCTGCTCGATGTAAGCAGCTCTTTTGTGCATCCTTTCAACCACAAGCTGTTCCGCATCACTTTGGGCTGCCTCAAGTGTGTCCTTGAGAAAAACCTCGGCGGTCGGGCAACCATGACCAAGAGTTGCAGCTGCCAAACTGATGGGCAATGCACGCAAACCCCAATCGGACCAAAGTCAAAAACAGTGCTCGTTGATGACTTAGAGACGGCACTTATGACTCTTATCACAGCAAAAACTATAAGTGTGACGTAAAGCACGAAGAAGATCACGAAGGTCTGGCTGACCTTTTCGACCACGGGCCGCGCGTTGCTCGGCCAGGAGCCACTAAAAGTGATCTGACAACAGGGTTCAATACAGAATCAACGACACAAGCGTCCACTGTACGTTTCTTGTCGCTTCCCTCTGTTGGAGCAAGGCAGGGCAGCAGGGCACGAGCAGCAGTGAGATTACCTGACGCTCACACTAACCCTAGCCTCGTACAGGGTGTACATGGCCCTTTGTGCCGTTCCATACCGGGTCCAAACCCACTGTCGGTCCTCCAGGTCCTGACAGGCAGGTATCACAGATGAGCCGAACCATGAATCAGAGCACGACGGGCTGGGTGATGTTCCAAAACAAGCAGAGATAGGCAACACAACATGAGGTTGGTCTGTGGATGGAATGCCTTGACACAAGTCAGGCATAAGACTTGATGTGACTTGTCCGAGCATGCCCTCCTGAAGTGGATCGCTGAGGAAATCTTGCAGCAGGTGCCCCAGCATCAAGGATCCCATGGACATCAAGACTCCAAGTAGGACCATGGACCAAAAAAGCGAGGGCAGGAAGCCTCGGTTGCTCGTGGAGAAGCTCGCAGCTCGCTGACACAGGCTGAATCGCAGCCGCAAATTGCTGTCTAAGAAGCACTGGCATGCCTTGACCAAGACCCGCAGGCCACGGAAGAGACGGAAGCTCCGCATCATCCGAAAAGCCCTGAGCGCCTTTAGGCCCCGCGTGAGACGGACCACAGCGTTATCAAGCCACGACTCGGCCTGGAGGAGGCTCAAGATCACGTCCACGAGGCCGGCAAAAACCAAGACTGCATCCCACCAGTTCAAATAGTCGCGCAAGAAATCCGACCTCTCCAAGAAGATCCTAAGCAATAGCTCCAGAGTGAAGAAAGCCACGAAGATGCCATCGATCACGCGGAAGACCGGAAGGGCAGCGGTCAGGCTTTCACTGTTTTCAAGGCCGAGCGTAGTGCCCACCACTCTGCCTTCCACCTTGGTGCATCCAGAATTCACCACCCTTGGTATGTTTGCCTATTGCCCAGGTTGATGAAGGAGTCGATGGGGCTAAACGAAGATAAAATGAAGTCCGCCATAACTACAATCGAAAGTGCTACCTTCAGGCAAGCTGCCTCCAGCTCCACCATCAAAGTTATGGAGTTCAGCAGCACCAGCACACCTGGATCCGAACAAGCTGCAGCACTCTCATCAACCTGAAAAGCCCACTTGCCTGTGACAAGTTCGATCCCCGACTTGAAGGATGTCAATGGCGGGCAGATGCGATCCAAGTTGTGCTGCTCATCCAATAAGTTGCCGAACTCCTCAGTCACAAAACAAGCCCTTGGATCAAGACTAAGACTGCCCGGAAAACAGCAGCCCCTAACAAGAGGTCTCCTGGCGTGAACACATTGATTGCCTGCTCTGCTTTGAGATGCGGCCCTGCACATTCGATGCAGCCATCTCGCTCTGCAGATCCTGGCATCAGAAAGACTTGCTGACAAGGATCGGCAACTCGTTTGTTGCCCAAATATATTATGGCTGGTTAGGGGTGCAGGAATGCCACGTGTCACGGAGCCGCACAGCGGGAACAGTTACTGCAGCCTCCGTAACCATCACGAGTAGAGCCTGACTCAACCCCCGCCCTCCCCAAGTCTACGCTCCAGATTCAACCCCGCTTCCTGCAGAAGACACCAGGTTTAAGTTCCCGCTGACTTCTTGCCGAGCTTTGGAAAGCTGTGAGCGGGAGGCGCAGCTTGGAGCAAGAGCAGGCGAGACAAGGGGTTCGTGGATGGCGCAGCCCGTATCTTTTGCAACACATGAGAATCGGGAAAATCTCGCTGAGTTCTTATACGCCATTGGTCTTCCGATGAAGGTAAGCTGTGCGGCGGTGTTGTACTGTTATACCATTTGGGGCTTCCCATCTCGCACCCTCTTGGCTTCACCGGGTGCAAGATGTCATCATAGACTCATAGTCTGAACGAGCTATGTTCCAACAGATCCAACAGGAGGCCAGGGGATCCGGTCACAAATGACCGACTGTGCTGTGGACATTCGAAGCGGGCCGGGAGAGGGGGAGGGGGAGGGCTAGCCTTTCTGTTTCTGTCGATGGTCGGTGCTGAGGGGACTCGAATGCACCACGTGCCAAGTGCCAATCTGCGATGTGTCTTGAGCAAGTAGTCTAGACTTGAACAGTCAAAAATTGTGACAAAAGGTTTGTGTTTCCAATGTGGTCGCATCCATGCCGTGGTTACTGTGGTCAGTGCTGACGTTCACTGCCCAGAACTTTGGATGCTTGATTAAAGCTCCTCGTCCACGAAGCTGAGATCACTCCAATCTGGAGCAGTCGAAGCAAGGCTTCCCAGCACATCCTGCCAGGACGTCGAGCGGCAGCGAATGAAGGCAGCCAAGACGCGTGTGCACTCTCTACAGTATCCGTGGATACAACAAGCCTGCAAAAAAAACAGCTTGCAGACGAATCCTTGCAGCAGCACGGATACTTCAACGGTCATCTGTTTGAATCCTGTAGTAGGTACGCAGTACACAGTATGCTTGTTTGTTCATTGAAGAGTCGATGGAGTCATCAAGTGTGCATGCGACTCATGCAAGGTCTTGTTTGGTCGACCTGTGAAAAACAGCCTTCCCTCGGCATACCCAGCCAAAATGGAAGCCTTGTCTGTCTGCCTGCCTGCGTGTCTGTCTCTCTTCCTTGCTTCCTTCCTCTCCAAGGTGTATGGCGCGAGCAGACCCGCCCTGTCGGTCTTTGCCTCTCCCTATCCTTTTATGTTCGGAATCAGGGAATCCACAGCAAGCCTACAAGCCACACTGAGTGTACCAGAACGTCAGCTCAAAATCAGTCAGCAGCCGCCTCTGGCACGGGATCCTCATACTCGAGGGCCAATGGCTCCCGTGTGCAGTGGATGTGGGAGATCCGGGGGGCCACCGGATCCGCAGACTCTGGGCACGCCTCCGAAAGTCTTTAGTGATGCTCCCATGTCCTATGCTTGACTTTGAGTTTGGCGATGGCCCGGCCTCGCTGATGGCACTCTTGGGCTCCATGCTCTTCAATGCCTCGCCGGCACGACCGAATTTGCTGGAGACCTCTTTTTGAAGGGTCTCGACTCAACACTCAACAGGGCTTGAGCCCCTAAGCTGAACAGCCCAAAAAGTGTCGATTCCCAAGTCTGATCCGAAGCCCTTCACCTGGAATCTTGCGAGCGGTGCTGGTTCTGTTGAAGCCATCAATGGTCGGGAAATGATTGAGTGATTGGAACTAGTTTTAACTCACATTTCTTGAACGTTGCTCAGGACACATGCAAAACGCACAGCTTCGAGCTTGGATATCAAAGGACCTACAAGGAGTGCAGGAAGACAAGTCACTGCAAGCACCCGTCTCTGGCCAGGCCTCAGCCCAGGCTTTCTGCTGTGTCTCTGCCAGCTCCCAAAGCTGCCGCCTTTGGACATTGGAACAAAGCATGGAATTGACATTGTCTGCCGTATGCCCGCACCAATATCGATGACATGATCGTGCCGATGGGACTGGGAAGGACATATTCGCACATCGATCTTGATATTTTTCGACTACTACTACTACTACTACTCCTACTACTACTACTACTACTACTACTACTACTACTACTACTACTACTACTACTACTACTACTACTACTACTACTACTAGCCACCCCCTCTACCCACTACCTCGTGTTACATACGCTTGTAACACACATCCGTTTTACTCGGTATTTACAGCACTTTCGGCATGTAGCAACATCTTATGAAGCCTCAAAAATCACCTCCGAGTTTTGAAACTCCGGGATCGTCTTCGAAACTATTCGGGGTGGATGGGAGGGTGCGGGAAGAATGATGACGACATCGTCACGCCGACACCCCGGACAACATCTCCGGAAGAGCCATTTTATTCGGTATTTACAGTACTTTCGCGACGTCTGCTATCTTATATAGTCGCCAAGCCTACCTCTGGACTTTGCTATGTTGTCTTTTGCCTTTGCGAGGGCTTTCAGCGAACAACTCGAAATTGGGTGGGGGAAAGCTGGTTTACTCGGTCTTTAAAGTACTTTGCTCATGTCACACTCCATTACTAACAACAAGGTTTTCAAACTCCAGCATCCGATTCTGGACTTGCTTTTGGCGGGGGGTAGGGGGGGTGCGGGAAGAATGATGACGACACGACACCCCGAACAACATCTCCGGAAAAGCCATTTCATTCGGTATTTACATTGCTTTTGTGACGTCAGCCCTCTTTGTAGTCGCCAAGCCTACCTCTGGACTTTGCTACGTTGTCTTTTGCCTTTGCGAGGGCTTTCAGCGAAAACTCGAAAATGGGTGGTCATAACTATTCGAGGCTGCCTGTACGTCATCAGCCCCCCCCCGCCCAACCCCCCCCCCCCCCAAAGCAACGCATGCAAAAGGGGTAGTGGGGGGGCGGACGCATACTATTACTACTACTACTACCACCACTACTACTACTACGACTACTACGACTACTAAGTTACTACTGCCACTACTACTACTACTACTACTACTACTACTACTACTGCTGCTACTGCTACTACTGCTACTACTGCTACTACTGCTACGACTGCTACTACTGCTCCTACTGCTGCTACTACTACTACTACTACCACTGCTATCAGTAGCACTAGCACTAGAACTAGTACTACGACTCTTCGCTGGCTACCGCGACCGCGACTACCACCAAGCTCAAGCTTCCTCTGGCTCTGGCCCATGCCTTGGAGCCGAAGAGCCGAAAGCCAGAAAGGTGCTTAACCTGCAACCTCAATATCCTCAACATTGGAGCTGTCCAGCCTGTGCCCCTCTGCCAGATCCAGGAGGTCAATGGACATCCTGCTGGGGACTTGGCAGAGTCTTCGATAGCGTGGAACTACATCTTCCCTGATCTAATCACACACTGAGCCGACAGAAAAACGATACTAGTCAAAGGTTCAGAAGCGGCATAACCTAGAAAATCTGTGACAGGCACACAAGTTTAATCATAGCTCGCGTGAGGGGCTCCTGCCGATGCCCTTGCAGCTCGCCGTGCGCGGACGCCAATCTATAATAATTATGTGGAAGGGCACAGTCGAGTTCTTGAGGAGTCTGCGCAGGGTGGGGTTAGGGCTTCTTCCCGGGCTGCAAGGCTGAGAAGAGTGCCCGTGTGCATCTGAGAAAGAGAGCCGAAAGCTGCGAGTCACATGCTCCAGGCTCGGCAACTTCGCTTCACGTCGGCATGCGTTATGTACTTGTCGACGGTCACGAGAATATATCCCCAGTGCAAAGAGCCTCGTCTGTAGTGCGATCCGTGCTGCCCACACTTTCCTGCGCGATCCCAGGGAATTCGTGGCTGACTGACACTGAAACAAGTTCAAAGCTGAGACTGTAAATACATTGTACATATGCATGTGTATATGTCCATGTATGTTTATATATAGGATATATACAGATCTTCGTATATGCATGTATACATATACACATACATGCACCTGCATACATGCATACCTACATACATACACACATACATATATACATGTATGCATGTTGCATATAGCCATATGACCACATAAAAACACATATATATATATATATATACATATGTATATATATATATATATGTATATATATAATATGTATAATATATATATATATATATATATGTATGTATGTATTTTGGCTCCCACTTGGCTGGTCAGAGACCACGTGATATGTATATATATATATATATATATATATAATATGTATATGTAATTATATATATATATATGTATATCTAACTTTATACACATACAGACTAAATAGTAACAGTATCTGTGATACTCACACGAATGCACGCAGTGCGCCCCTCATGAATACACAGGTCTGACAGGAAGCAATTGTGGACCGAGTCCCGACATGCATCCTGCGAACACACCAGCGACAAACAAAAGCATTAGGTCCTGCAGAAAGGCCGGCGACTGCTCCGGCTGCCTGAATCGAATTACAAAACAAGTGCATGAAGGACCAGTCCGAAGCATGGACTGCGATGTGCCGGGAAGGATGGGCATGGCTCGGGATTTGAGTGCGCGGCCCCTTGACCGCTTCTGGGTCTCGGCCTGGGCTGCATGTCTGAAGAAGGTTTCAGTAGGTTTCAGTCTTCGGGCCGATTCCACTGAAGGACGGGAATTTGGAGGCACACACCATCCAAGGCATATCTAGCGGATCAGTTCATTATCTACACCAACCCCTCTCGCATGGCTGGAAGCGATGTCCACAAGCGAGGTGTGCTAGATGCTTGGTGGTGCCCATGTGGCAAGTCTTAGCAGACAGGCCGCTTGTCAACCTCGGGGACGGCATGAACAGGTTGTCTTCCTTGACCTGCCCAGACAAGGCCACTACTCGAGCTTCTGAACACACGTCCACTGCCTACTGGCGGTCATCGACCGATTGTTAAACCCCTATTCTGCCTCCGGGGGAAGCCATCGATCATCAATTTCACTCCTGAGTTACACCACCGCGGTCATGGGAAACGGGACCATGGCACATTCCCCTTCGTGCTCACGCTTGCGACCCGGCAGTACTCGAAACAAATGCATGCAGGAATGGAAAACATGAACCCAATCTCGCCAAGTTTCGTGTCGAGCGCTCCGGCGGCATACGCCGGCCCTCCAATGGAGCAGGTGCAGAAGCCTCAGCTCGGGATGCCGCTCAAGAGAACTGGCAACAAACCGCAACGTCGCGGGCCATAGTTGGGTCGTGGCGATTGTGGGGCATCTAATTGTAACGAGCCGGCCCAGAAAAAGGCATCCTGGCAGTGAGTTGTCCAAAAGCTCCGGAGGTGAGTTCTGCAGTCCCCAGAATCATGAAGCTTGTAACTGACCAGGAAGGGACATTACCCGTTCTTGTTCAGCCACGAGACCGCCCTGGCAATTGAAAGCACTGAGGACGTCGGTGAAGTTATCCATCGCCCGCTCTGCAAGGGCAAAGTTCAAGCCCTTCCAGATCAATTACCAAGTAATTTGTAGGGGAGTGAGCTAGCCGCGCATTCTTTGAGAAGGCTCGTGGGCAATGTCGAGGACATGAAAGCTGATGCGAAGCTAAGAGTTGAGGAACATCTCTTCACAACACAGGCAACTCGAAACCCACCTGCTGCGCACTCAGCACTGCAGCTCGCCCATAGCATGCAAAGAGTCACAATGCAAATGGCCGATGCCGGAAACCCGGTGGGAAGGGCTTATTTGGGTGGGGTGTGCGGAGGGTTCGTGCAGCTGTTGCTCGCGTTGGGTGTATGCCGAAGCTACCCTTTGCCAACTTTCCGTAGCCAGACCATGCCAGATAATGGAATTATAGCATGTCTCAAGTGCAAAGCGCACAGCAATGGATGAAGGCAAAATAACAGCCTGGTCCCTGGTCGTGTGATCTGTAGGTGGGTTGATGCTGGAGTGCACATGTTGCATGGAAAGGTACTTGAACAGCTCGGGCGGCAAGTCGCGTAGTTTCCAACCCCTTCGTTCCGAAGCGAGAAGCTCTGAGCAATCACTGGCACACGCACACGCACGCACACACACACACACACACACACACACACACACGCACACGCACGCACCCACACACACACACACACACACACACACACACACACACACACACACACACACACACACACACACACACACACACACACACTTGACACATCGTGTCGCAGGTCTCGAATCACACTCTCAAAGTCAGAAGAGTCAGCTATGATTTCCTTGTCGGTCTTACTAGCGAAAAAAGCCAAGCGACACCTGTAACCTTGCACACGAACTCCACTCTATGCTCTGGCTGTCGGACTTGAAGCAGTATACAGCGAATATGAAAAGGAAAACAGTGAACGGCTTGCACAATGGAGTATGTCACAAGCTTTTGCAGGTACATGAGTCAGCGTCCTGACTCGCTTCACAGATGCAATGCTGGCGTCTTCGTTGGTGCCAGTCCAGCATGCATCCCTGGCACCCCCTGCATTACACACACTCGACCCTTTGGAACAGGGATGGACACACACAAGCCCGAGTGGGCTCGTTGTAGAAGCATTCACATCCCTTGCTCGTCACTTGCACATCCCTTGCACGTCCCTTGCACGTCACTTGCACGTCCCTTGCACATCCCTTGCTGCTTTTTTCACTGAAATTCATGGAAGAGTCTTATGCTCAAGACATCTAGAAGAGTGGGTTACGAAACCTCAGGAAGCGCAGTCTGTGCACTAAGTGCAATTCAACTTCTGCTTCTTCCGCATCGGCATCAAAGTACATGCAACATTGAGTTGCAGTTTTGTACGCAACGCTGGCCAGTGACACGATACTCACTCGTAAACGCTCCTGTACTAGACCTACGACAGCTCTCATCCACCTTTTTGACGGGCTGCTCAACATGGTGCATGCCACGACATTGATCTGTGCAAAACGGATGGTGGTATGCAGAGACTGAAAACCCATGGTCCACTTAGTCGAAGAGGACAGCCGGAACTCCTGTATCCCACGTCGCAGAAAAGTGTACGCCACCATGGTGTCAGTAATGGGTTGTGCCTCTTCAACGTCATCATCTGCATCGAGACGGGTAATGAATGTGATTCTGGTTCTGATCGGCAACACGTACATCAAGACGTTATCGAGCACATCGGAAGCAGTCCAATCCATGATGTTCGGGGTCTACACAATTTTCCGAGTGCTTGAAGCGAAACTGCACACTCCTTGCGTTGCACTTGCACAGACCTCGCACACCCTTGCATATCACTTGCAATTCACTTGCGCATCACTTGCATTCCGATTGCACATCCCTTGCACATCACTGCTCTTGACTTGACAAAGAGGTGGGCTCTTTTTATACCGTAACGACGAAATCGACTGGTTCGAGGGTTTGAGCGGTCGTAACCGGTTCTGTAAATCGAAGGTGACGAAAGTTTTGTACAAGCTGGAAGGTGTGCAACCTAGGCCACCAGCCGAACTTCTCCCAAAGCTGCATCGCGACAAGGTATTTGGCACCGTTGATGGAATCAATGATTGACAACTGGATGTGGAGAATAATAGTCTCGTGTCCGGTTGCCCGACTGCATACACGAACCCACATCCGAAAATTGTAGTCGCGGCTGGTACTCCAAGGCAAATTGGCTTCGCTAGCCTTGCGCTTCATGATGGACAACCTACACGACTGCACTGGATGTCAAATGCTGCAACTCAAGACGGCTCATGAAGAAACCCTTGCACATCCCTTGCACGTCACTTGCACGTCCCATGCAGAAACTCTTGCACATCCCTTGCACGTCACTTGCACGTCCCTTGCATATCCCTTGCAGGCTCACGAACGCTTGTTTGCAACTGCTCTCGTTTCACTCTGAGACTTCAATTTCGTCAACTTCTTCTGCTGGAAGTGTTGGGGGCAACTCTGTTGTTTCTTGATGTTGAAGAGAATTAACGCAATGAGTAGTCACAGATTGAAGAGAATTCAAATCCGTCAGCAAGTTCCCCACCACTTCGTTGGTCTTCTGAAGTTTCTGAAACAGTTCTGTGGTGGCGGACATAACTTCCGCCACCTGAGCCTCAGTGTCCCTGATTTGTGTGGTGAGCACGTCGAGTTGAGCTTGTTGGATCTTCTGGACGGATAATGCTTCTTCACGAAAATGACGGAATTCACCTCTGATTGTGATCAGCTCCTGTTGTGTGTAGGAAATCCAGCGTTGAAGAGGTGCCAACGGATCGCACGCTGAGTTGCTCGACATTAGCGCAATGGAACGAGACTTGAGCAGGGTGCTGCAACACTGTTCTGGTGTGTACCACAACACGAGTAAACAAGTACTCTCAGCACTGGCGTCTACGGCACAGTTTTTCTCACTTCAGCACTCGCATGCGTTACAGATACAAGTGAAATCCTGTCACATCATTCATACTCAGCTAAGATCAGAAGACTGACTGCGTCGCCGTCGGCGTGAAACACGTCTTCTGGTAGGCATAGGTTTGGATCTAATCGGAGTACCTGAACGCGGCTGAAGATGTAGGTGCGGCTGACGACGAAGCAGCATTGGACACCAAAGGAGATTCAGACACACGATGCGCCAAGCTTGCAAGTGGCACTGGGGGTGGAAAGACAGGAGCACTGGCACTGGGCGGGGGGAAGAAGGGAGGGGGAAGAGGGGGAGGGAGGGGAGGAGGGGGAAGAGGGGGAGGGCCAGGGGGAGGGAGGGAGGGAGGTGCAGAACTGGACGAAGGGTTGTCGCTGCCTGCACTCGGTGTACTCCTCGATATTGGCAGAGAGGATGGCGGTGCATAGGGGTGGGATCTGGACGAACGTGATCCTGAAGCTCCGCTACTGCTAGGGCGTTCTTCACGCAGGTTTGCTCTATCCCTCTCATCCAAGCGACGCAACTCTTGCTGCAGCATTCTTTCTGTCCCGTCACGCACAAAAGCTGTCAACTGAAGTACGAGAGCTTGCCGAAGTTGTGGTCGTGATACAAAGTTGAGCAATCTCACACGCGCTGAATGGGTGAGCGCTCTCAGGAACTCATCAATGTTAGGGTCCGAAGGTGGCACCGTCGGCATGCTTGCTTACTCAGATAATCTGGTTTCTTGGCCGAAAACACTGCGATGCACAGCACTAACACTTGCTTGCACGTCACTTGCACGTCACTTGCACATCCCTTGCACGTCCCTCGCACATCACTCGCACGTCCCTTGCACATCCCTTGCTGCTCACGTTTCACTCTGCTTGGACGAAAAACTCGTACTCCAGGACACGGGGGCACAACTCTTGCTCTGGTAGTTTTTCAGCAAGTGACATGTAATCCTGTACACTCCCGGTGACCAAATCAAAAAAGAATCAAACGTTTCGGTTGGGACACTGTGCAGCGTACCAAAAATGGCAAGCACAGCGGAGGTTAGCTCTAATCAGCATTTTTGCACAAGCTTTCGACCGTGCTGCAGGATTTCGGTGAAACTGCATCGGATCCCCAAGCGTAATATCACTTGCTTCAGAAGGAACAGGTGAACGCTCACGTTTGTCCTTCTTAGACTTCATGGACTTCGGGGACTTGTTTGGTACCCGGTCCTTTCTCACCCTCTTTGATTTCTTGGACTTCTTGGTCTTCTTGCACTTGTTGGAGGACTTCTTAACCCAAGACGCCACCTCAGTGGGTGCCGAGTCTTTGGGAGGATCGAAAGCCGAAGACCAGGAACTGGCATCATCAGGGAGATCGTCATATGGTACCCCATTGTCTTGACAGGAAGTCATATCGGTGTACCGAGGAAACAAGACGGAAACGGCTGGCGGCGTCACATGAGTGAACAAGAAAGACTCCTTCGGCTTCCCGAGAGACAGAGAGAGAGAGGGGAGAGAGGAATGACAGAAAAGGCATACAACCGCGCGTAATGCTCCTACGCGCTGTTTTCCAGTGCGCAAAGACGGTTCCACTTCAGCGGTGCAGGCGCTCTAATCCAGGAATGATGATTGTCCCAAAACTGCCAATTGGGAAAACGAATTAAGCAGACAAGTCGTCCGCTGTTCCAACATGATAAATGCTCTTACGGTGATGCATCTCGCTTGCGTTTTCGGGGTGACAAAGAATTAGCGCTCTCAGTAGGGAGGTTCAAGTCCACCGAAGAAGTCGTCTGAGAAGTTCGGTGCCACTGATTGTCAGCAGCCAGACGATCCGAAATCCAGCGAGAGGTGGCGGGAAACCAAGATTTCCACCACGTTTCATTGCCATTGGGTCCTTGATTTTTCACCCAATAAAATCGCCACGAAACAGTCGGAGAACGCGATCGGGATCGATCCGACATGGCGTGTACCGCTGAAAGCCGAATGCTGGAACTGAACGAGGCAATTAAAAGATCTTAAGCTGGCACATTGCATGCAAGACGCTGCCACGAATCACTTGCACTGCACTTGCACAACCCTCGCATACCCTTGCAAATCACTTGCAGTTCACTTGCACGTC